AGTTTACAATTTGATGTGTTAATTTTTGATTTTGGAAGATTTTCATGAGCTAAAATAAAACAGAAATGATGTTACAATGTTTGGTTTTTATTGTATTTTCATAAATGATAGAAATCAATTGAAACAAAATTAAATGAAAGCTTAATGACGGATCTAACTAAATAGTTACAATAGTTAATTTAGCTGGAAAATTAAGTATGTTTTTGTAGTTTTGTCTTTGATTCAGTTAAAATATCCTTCTCTTGGTGTTTTCTTTTTGTGAAAAAAAGGTTTTATGAAAATACAAAAAATTTTTTACAATTTGTTCATAGAGATATATAAAGAATTGATAAATCTTAAAAAATGTTAAATTGTTGAATAAAATATATAGTTTGAATACAATTTCAATAACAAAATTTTACCAATAAAATTCTAAAAAATATATTTTGTTTCTTTTTATATTTAATCATTTTTATATATTTTAAACTAACCCAAATCATTTTTCGCTGTAAAAATTGATTTACTATGGGTTTTTAATGTTTTTATTAATCTATATTAAACTAATCTCTGCATATTTTATCAATAATTCTAACAACAAATTATTCTTTTTATATTGCTATTTGTTTTTTAAAATCCTAGATTTGGTTAAAAAATAATTAAAAAAAATAAAAACAGAGACTTATAATTTTGCTAAAAATTAAAAAATATTTTCAACTACTATAAAAAAACCTTTAATGATCATAATGTGTCAATTTTTATCGCGAAAGAATATTTCTTAATTAAATAGAAAAATTTCATGGTTACATCCTGCTTTAAACTTTTATTTTTTTATTTTGAATGAGCAGAAAAAAATAGATTTTTTTAAAGTTCCAAAAAATATTTCTGTTTCAACTAACTGATGCATTCAAATATTATTATTAAAATCAATTTAAGTTATGTTCTTGTATTTTGCCCTTTACTAAAAGATTTATCTCAAAAAAATATGAAAAATACACATGTATCTTGTCGTTTAGAGATATTTTTATAAACAGCTTTTTCTATTAATTATACTTTTTAGGGGTTTTTTATATATATTAAAAACCATTATAATTTCTAACTAAATGATCGATTTCATATGTTTGTATTTTAGCTAGAATATAAATGATCAAACACAAATAAACAACATAAAATGTGTAAGCATTAAATCATTAAGAATTTTTCAAATCAGCTGCAATCCAAAGCTATAATAAACAATAAAAAAATGAAATATTAAATAGTTCAAAGATCAACTTATTGGAAAAATTGGTTTAGTATAAATATCGGAAATATTTTAATTTTTTAATTTTTTTATTTTTCAGATTCAAACAATAAAATAACAATTCGACAGCATTTTTGTAAGTTTAAGGTATAATCAGAAAATTTCTAGTTACAAATATTACATTCAAGAGAAGAAATAGACAAACAAAAAAAATACGTATTTTTAAAATACTTATCTTTATTTTATTTTTGTTCTAATATCTTAGTGTAGTACGTGTTTTTCGTTTTGTTTGATTATTTTTATTACTTTTTATTTGAAATTAAATCATATTTTTTCGTTACGTAAATCCTTTTTAAATATGATGGATAATATCAATTATAATCTACGAAAAGGGTTTGACCTTTTTGCATATTAATAGTGATAATTCAAGGGAAAAATGTTCATCTCTTATTTTTTTGATTGCAAGACTAGTTATTTTGTGTAACAAAACCTTATAATTTGTGTTTATTAACTTTGTTTGCCATTTTTGATCTTTTAGTTTCAAAAAGATGAATGATGCTTTTATTAGATTTTTTTACAAGTTTTATATTATATTACTCTTAAATAAATACTTTTTTTTAATTTAAGACAATTTCAGTTGACATTTGCTGCATCTAAAAGTTTTTTTGTTGTTAACATCTTTGTATGTTATAATGTCAGTTAGTAATAAAAATCTTAAATTTGTAACTATACTTCTAATTTCAATGTCACATGTTTTTTTATAATAAACTATTCTTGTTTTTTTTACATAATAGTTTTAAATTAGTAAAATTTGAAATGGTTTTGAAAATAAATGTCATACAACTTAAAGAATCTATTATGATATGATATACAAATTTCACGTTATTAAAGTTATTTTTTTACAAAAATTTTTATAGGTAAAGTATTTATACTATAATTAAATAGAATATGGAAATTTGACTAAAGCATTAAACTTAAACGGAACTGGAAATTTGAAATGCATAAATTAAACCTAAAACTTCTTTGATGTGTCTTTATTATCAATAGAAATAAAATTATATTTCCATTTTGTTTTTCAAAAAATTTTGGTATACATAAAATATATATATATAAATATTACCTTAAATAATATAATCAATCTAATTAGAGATAATGAATATACATAATAACTATAAAAATAAAAAAAGAAAAAAAGAAAAAAAGAGAATTGTCTTAAATAAATTACAAATTATAATTTCAATTACTGTGTTTATTTTTGTTCAATTTTGTTGCAGAGTTGAATAATTGCAAATCTTTTTGTTTTTTGTTTTCAATTTCGCTCTTTATATTATTATTGACAGTGAAATAAAATAAATTAGAAATTTGTTGAATTAAAGTATGACGGAGTACAAATATCATATAGGAAAAATAATTACAATATCAATAAAATGAGCTGCAATAAAATTTCTCAAATTTATTTCATTTGCACATTATTTCTGGGTGATTTTAGGCAATTAAACAAGAACAGGAAACAAGATTATATAAAAATATTAATGTATTCAAAGATTAAAGGTTATAATACATATATAATAAAAATATTAACAAAACTGTTGGAAAGTGGGACTTCTGGTGGTTTTTTAATAAATATTTTTTTCTTGTCAACCATCTTTTACCTTAGACCTTATGTTAAAATGGTAACAAATATTCTAAAGATTGATAGCTAAGGTGCATTTTCAACAATCAAAACTTCAACTTTATTAATATAACCATCTAAAGATTTTAATTTTAAATGGCATACCAAACGAATAAAAAAAATTTATTTATTGATAAAATTGAATTCTATTACTTGTTAAAAATTTGACGCCCGTCAAAATCAAACGACAGGTATAGCTATTAATACCCTGTTGATTATGTTGGTTTTATTGAATGGTTCCTGAGAGTTTTCGTCAGGATTTTTAGATTTACTTTTATGCTTCATTTTCTCCTCTCCTCTATATCTTCAATCTCTATTTAAATCTTTATTTGATAAATTAATTAATTTATTAATTTCAAATAATTAAAACATTTTAATTATATATTAAAAATATAGATTAAAATTATAATGCTTTATAATTTTAATTAAGATAAATTTATTTTAATTATCTTCTAGGTCAGATGTCATTATTCCTCTATTTGGAATTTGACATTGCATACATCTGACATACCCAAAAATAACAAGTTAAAATTTTTACTTTGGTTTTTTAAAAAATGAATATTTTTTAGATTTAAAAATATTCAGGTAACATATAATCACTAATTTAAATACAATAAATTGTTTTGTTAAATTTATTATAGACAAATTTAAAATATGAAAATGTTGATTAATTGCATCTTTTAAATATCTAAATGTAATTTAAAATTGTTTTTGAATACAAAAATTTAATCTATCTGCAAATTGTTTTCATTTTCTTTTAAAATGCAAAAGTATATCAATTTATGAATATTTCTTACATGAAAATTGTTTAATTTGAACAAAAAAATGTGCAAAGAATGATTTATATTTTAATATTCTTTTATTTGATTTTTTTTATTTATTTTTTTGTTATATTATGGAAAAATAACTTTTAACTTATTATATGCATGTTCGCATTTGAAAGTTTACCAAAACAAAAAAAACGGAAAGATATACTTCTTTTTCTTTTTTATATGAAAATAAAACGAATTAAATATCGTTTCGCTATTGATTAAAATCAAAATGCATATTATTTATTGTATTTATTTTACCAAGAATTATAAAAATTTCAATCAATGAATTATATAAAGTATTAAATACAAATATTTATAAAATATGATATAAAACAGAAAAAAAAGGTATAATATTGAGTTTCCAAATTTTTTGAAAAAAATTGCGATTTATTATATTAAAAACATTTTTAGAGTGTCTTTTTTTATCTTTAGAATCTTACACAAACAAATGAAATTTAAATATGCACGATAATAGAGCTATTTAAACAATATTAAAAGAAAAATACATTTTAAAAAGCATGTATATCTATTTTTTTGAATAGAAATGCAAATTACAAGGGAAAGAAAAATTCGTATATCACAAAGAAAAAATATATAGGTTTGTATGATAAATAGTTTTTTTCGGTAGTTTTTGCCATTTACGACTTGAAATGACATTTATATCATATAATTAAATTAAAGGTAAAATTTAAACAAGCACCGACATTTGAACATGAATATTTTAAAATATTACTAATTAGTAAAATTCTTTATGAAAATCAGTGAGTTATCTGTTGCCATTTTATATAGATTTAGAAATGAAATGAAATGAACTTTACTTTTATTAGTTTAAAAAACAATATTGATGTTATTAGAACCTCACCAAAAAAGTACAAAGTTTATTAACATAGAATAAAATACAATTTACAATGTTTGTTGAAATTTAAATCAAAGCTCAATAATGGGAATTCGTACGCTTGAGAAAAATTTGATTTAGCAGAAAGAACATTTTGTTTAATAAAGAATTAAGATTGGAAAATTTTAGTTTTAGCTTAAAACTTATTTATACAGAAATTCAGAAAAAATATACTACCGAGAAATGCTATAATTACAATTTTTTTTGCATTTTTGAATCTTAATTTAATTTCTGCTGTTAAAAATATCCTTTCCCATGCGTTGCTTTTTTCAGAATTTCTTTATTAAAAAGTAGCTATTACCATAGTGAATTATAATAATTAAAAAACGATAATTTAAAATTATTATTAACTTTCAGTTAATTATGAATCCATGATTTTTGTACTTTTAGAAAGAACCAAAAAATTGCGAACGGGGAGACTCGAACACCCGACCTTTGGATTATGAGACCAACGCTCTACCGACTGAGCCACGCTCGCTGTAAAATTTTAAAAAGCTAGAATTATAAACGCTCGTAAAACAAACTAAGATAAAAAGTATAGTTTATTATAATGTAAAATTTTTTGGTAAAGAATATATGTAGTTACTTTTTCTAATGTTAATATCAATGATTTCTCATTTAAAGGATTTTTCATATATTAACTGTTTTATGGTTCTTTACTAAATAATATGTGCACTATATAAGACGCTCAATAAACAGAACTAATTTTTTAGTTAAATAGAACCCAATTTTGTTAAATTTTCTGATAGATAAAAAATAAACTTAAATGTTGCATTATTAGGAATTGATTCGTCTAATTTTTTAAATTATACAACAACCCCCATTAAAGAAGAAACTAATACATACAAATGTAATAAGATACTAATGAAAATGTTATAATATTCGGATCGATTTATACAATGAGTTTTGAAGTAGATTTTTAAAATACAAAATTTTCGAAATTAAAGCTAAAGTTGAATTAAAACCCCAATTCATATATATTTTGTGCTTGTGATTTGTGAAAATATTCTATATATTCGAACCTTTAGATTGACATTATTTACACTAATATGTTCTAATTTATTTTTTTAATATTCTTCACAAAAAGTTAAAAAGTTAATACATTACTAAAATTTAAAAATTATTTTTCAAATTTTTTTAATAGTTTTCAAAACAATAAATAATATCTAACATTCATAAATTGAAAATTTTAATAATTTCTACGTTTTATATTCAATTTTTTTAGTGCAAATCAATCTTTAAAAACAACCAAAAAACCACACAGTTTTTACAAAAAAAATTGATTTAAAATGTAATATGATATTTAAGTCGTAACAACATCGAAAAGTAGTAAAGAAAGGCGTGAAATATATGTGTGATATACAATATCGCATATATTTAATTTTTAAAATTGGTAATTAAAACAATGTGGGCAAAATTTATTTTATTGACATTCTAAAAATAAATTTATGTTTATAGTATTTTGAAAATAATTTCATTTTTGAAATTTAAGAAATTAGTATATCTAAAAAAACAATATAAAATATTTCCTTATTGAATTTTATGTGATTTTTTAGAGATAAGAAAATTCACAAAAAGTTATTTAGGTAAAAAAAAAGTAAGAGAGAAAATGATTATGTTATACAATAAAAATAACATTAGTAGTAGTAATAATAGTAGTAGAAATGATATTAGAAGTAATCATATTAGTAATAATAATAAATATAACAACAAAAACATTTTTAATCTTTTAGAATTTTATTTTAAACCCAACTGTGTTTCTTCTTTACGGGACAATTTGGTTTAAATTTTTCGAGAAATATTATATGTTTATACGCGTTTAATATTCAAAAAACTATTTATTTTAAAAATAAACACAGATAGAATTATAACATAACTCAACTAAATATGTATATAGGATTTGTAAAATATCAATAAATTTTTAAAAAATCACTTTTAAAATATTTAAAACGAAACAATTCAACAATGAAATTTAAATATATCCTTAAAATAAATTCCTATAGAAATCCAAGAAAAAGCAATAATATTGTAGATCATTTCTGTGTTAAAATTAAATTACATTTTTGCAGAAATATTTTATACCATGTTGTAATTTTCATTTATCCAACATTGTTACATAGAAACACATATTATAGCATAAATTATAAATTGATTTAAAAATTTTTACATTTTTAAAACTTATTTACCATTATTTTTAGAAATAAAAATTTCTAGATGTACTTTTTTTATATGACGTTTGCAGCATCATTATATTAAACATAGAAAGTGCTTAAATCTATTACAAAATTGTATAAAATGATCAGTAGAATATAAAAATTTGAAATAATATTTTATTCACTATGAAATAGGGATAATTGATTCGATACACCAAAAAATACAATTATAAAATATTAGTTGTGATTGAAGACCTAAAATCGTGTTTCAGACTACGAATTTTTTTGCTAAAATTTAAGGGAAAATAACAAAAGCGATTCTGAACCAAAATTGTTCATAAATAATACTAAACCTGAGATAAACTGTCACAAATACAATATGTGACATTCAAAGTATGAATGTTTCTTAAAGTTGTTGTGTAAATAAATAATATATTGTTTAAAAATTGTTGACTTTAATTATTGATTATTTATTAAACGATAAATAATAATTGGAATTAAATGAAATAAAATGTTAGATTAAAAACTTTATAAAAGATTTCAATCTTTAATTAAAAGAAGATAATTTTTTATTGAGATAAATTAATACAATTTATCAAATAAAAATATTTAAAGGATGGGAATGAAAAAAATATGTGTTTATCAATTCACATTTCAATAAATATTGTATGAATCATGTCCTCAATATTTATATAAACCATCACAAACTTACATAATTTAAATAATAAAAAACTTTCATCACACTAAAATATTTCGAGTTTTATTGTCAATTATTGTTCAAAAAAATAGTTTAGGTATAAAAATCTGTTTAAATTCATATCGACTAATTTTGATCCATTCTTTTATATGTAAAATTCTTATTATTATTTCTTTTATTTGTTAAAAATTCACAAGTTTTCTAAAAAATATTACATAAAATGCAATATTCTTTTTTTTAAATCTTTCTGGTTAATTTTCATATTTAAAGGCACTAAAAATATTTTTAATGCTTTCATTGCCAAATAGAAACATAGAAATTTCGAAAATATAGCTTCTTATATTTTGTAATTTGTATGATAAAGTCCTGGAATAATTGATAATTTAACAGATAAATAAAAACAGGAAAAAAACACAGAAAAAAATATTCTAAATTATTAAAAAGGCCATTAAAAGGCAGAAAAAATGATAACGTAGTATGTTTATTAATTGTGTTACTTATCTTTGTTTAATTTTAAATGCCTGTCGTTAATATGTTTTAGTAGGATCATGTTTTCTTTTGTCTTAAATGGAAAAAAACTTATTTCGATTAATTTTCCATTTTTCCTATAAAATTTTTTAGATGATGGACCAGCATTCCTAAAATCAGCATACATAACGGTTTCAGAAACAGCTGTTGAAAAATGTTCTATTTTTATTAAATCTGACATGTCAAGTATCAAGTATCCGCAACATTCGAAAAATTGAACAGTAGTGCATTCAAAAAGCTTGATATGTGCTTCATGTGAAAGTGTTGCTATTTTAGAACAGAAATCTTTTCTCAAACATGCAAATTTGCATACATTTGCTCTATAAATTCTGGAGACGCCATCTTCATATTGAGACAAATTCTCATTATGCCAATAACATTCCTTGAAATCAAAACACAAATTTCTATTTGAACTATCAAAAATCAAATATTTTTTGTGGATTTCGTTACGGTGATCATTGATACAACTCTTTTTTACAGCTATATTGCTTACTGATGTAAACAGATAATCATCAAAACGATTCTTCAATATTTCGTTTATTATAATATTAGATAAACTTTTAAACGCTTGACTTTTTGGATCAAACAAATAAAAAAATCCATCATAGCTTGGTGTAATCGGATTTGATTTTCGTAAATTATCTAAATAACCCACCATACACTCTTTCAAAAAATTTAATATTGTATTAGATTTCTTCAAACATTTCACAATTTTTATCTTCAGAATTAAAAAATCAATACTTTCTTTATCAAGCAACCCCCAAGCATAATATACTAAATGATGATCAAATATATTTGTAGCTTTTTCTTCTTCTTCTTTGGATAAAAAAATGTGTTTTCTATCTTTCTTCCACATTCAGTATTCATGTTATTTGTTTGTATTTTTAAAATGTGATTACAGATCGATTTTAAAAAATATTTATGATATTAATTCTAAGATTCTTAAAATTATGAAGTAAATTTTATATAATCTCGGTATTCTATCTTTTTATTTTCAAAAGTAGCAGAAATGAATAAAAATTATATATTTGATCTTGTAAAAACTTGCATTAAAATAGATTTTTAGTTGCTAAATTTGATATTCAAGTAATACGGCAATTGCAGAAAAAAACTTTAATTTTTTAATTAACAATTAAAAAACGATTTAAAACATAAGATAAAGATATTTAATACAACAAAATATAACTAGTTCAATATTGATTATTTATGGAAAAATTTTACTAAATGAATAACCAAATTTTCCGTTATTGCTTAAAGTCAATATCAATTTTTTTATAGATTTTAATCATAAAAGAATAAACATTGTGAACAGCACAAATTTTGCAACAATTTAGGCGAAAAAAACTAATAAAATTGAATTTTTTAAATGTTGAAGCATAGTTTCAAAAAAATACAAATGGAAAAACAATCATACACGGATTAAGTCAAATATTCAATAATTCTTTAAGATTAATTGATAAAAATCTTTTCCTATATAAATCAAGAGATAAAAAAGAATTTCAATTCTCTAAATTTTTTTCGGGTAATTAATTCATCTACAATTTTTTGATTTTGAGACACAAATTTTTTAAAGTCTGGATTCGATTGTAATTGTAAATAATTTACTTAATGAATAAGTAGGATTTGAAATCTGCAGGTTACACTAAAACATAAATGTACTCAAAATTCTTGAATTGAAAATAGATCCTTCCAGTTTTTTCATAGTTTTACAGTATTATCACATTTATTCATGTTTTATATGTTAAAGATGCACATTGAGGTTATTTTAATAGAAATGTATCGGATGATTTGTAGAAAAATCATTTTCATTTAAAATCTAATACATATATTGTTCGCAAAAATTAATACATTGAAAAAAAGTTTTTTTCAATTGATTTGATCACTAAATGTAAAATATTTTTATTTGTCTTTAAATACCAGAAATACGAAAATATAATCAGATGTTAAAATATGATGAAGATTAAAATTATAAAGACATGTTTTTGAAGACAGTTTGCCAACACTAACATCAACCTTGCAATTGTTTTAATAGCAAGTCAAATTTAAATACAAATAATAAAAATGTTTTTACTCGTCAAAATATGTAATTTAGATAATGTA